AATTTGATTTTGGTCATATTTTTGTCTTCCGGCCATAGAGACTTATATTATATAAGTTATATAATTTAAATACTGATTTACTAAAATGAAATTTGATAAATACTTTTGTGGTATTACACGTCATTAATTAATTTTTACCTGTGGAAAGCACCTGCTAATTTATTTACTGCGTTTATCAATAACTAAAATAAATGTTTATATTAAACAGGTCACCAGCTCGTTAAGTTTACATAACTCATTTTTCATTGTTTCTAAAAATGGAAAAGATTAAAATTACAAATATTAAGCATGGGAGATTCATTGAGAATTTGGTAAATTTTCTATACAATTGGCACAAAATTTGTATCGCTGCTACTTCACGATCTTAAAATTACATCTTTAAATATTTGTCAGACTTGAGCACCAATTTACAATTATTTGGATACTTTGCAATGGAATTGTATTTGAAGAAACAATAGTTCCAAATGGCTGCCATAATTTTATTAAAAACAAATAATAAACTCACACAGAACATTGTAAAATTGTAATCGGCGTAAATTGTGTAATATTAGATTTCAAATTAATCAGGACAAGTTTTACGAAATAAAAATACTCTGTCATCTGTAAGCGTATAAAAAGTTTATACCCCGAAATACAAATAATTTTTGTTGCATTTTGTTAACCTTTGCAAATGCTAAATTTACCAATTTTCTGCATCAAGGGCTGTTTGAAAAATTGAGCAAAAATATTGCTCGTCACTAATTTATTTATTAAACAATGAGGCAATTCACGCAGTAAATTGTACATGCATTTGTCAGACTTGAGGATCATTTATAATTAAGTATTATGGACAATTTGCTACACAATTGACTCCGAAGATTCAGAAACAGAGAGACCTAATTTATAAACTCGCAAACAGTGTGTGCAAAAGGGCAGCCTTTTTGTTATTTGTTCATCGCTTTTGCCTTTTTGATGCTTTTTGCCTTTTTGATGCCTTTTTGCCTATTTGATGCCTTTTTGCCTATTTGATGCCTTTTTGCTAGATTTTTTGATGATTGAACCCGATTTTAACGTATAAAAGAAATTACAGAATATATTTAATGTTTTTAAAATTGTATTGGTGGGTTCTGGCTTTCATTGATACTTCAAATTAGCTAAATACTTTTCCCGAGAAATTTTTTTTATGTGTGTCATCAGCTTAATTAATTTAATTTTCGGCTAAAGATCATATTTCAGAAAAGAATAATAAACGCTATGAATAACTTTTACTTTAACTTTATCTTAGAGCTTTCGTCTCATCTCGCCCCAATTAGCAAAAGGCAAAAAGGCACCCACTTTTTTGGGCAAAAGGGCAGAAAGACACTGCCTGCCTGTTTACTCTGCACACACTGCTTTACAGTATATTTAGATAGCTTAAGTTGACCCACAGAACTATACTATAATATCTTGAGTTGACCTAATGCTTTTTATTGAGCTTTACAATTAATAAAAATTTATACACCTGGCGTTAAAGTTGTTCAATAAACTTCCAGGTAATTTCGATAAAAAAAATTGTTTCCAAGTATTTCCAAACCAATAAAATAGCAATTTGATGGTAATGAGCATGAACATTGAGCACTTATTTTTTGCAAAGTTTATAAAGCAAGCCGTGTTTAGTGTTTTAATAAATGCGGAAAAAATTTTTTAGTGGAAATGTTTTTTGGTGACATTTAAAATTTTGAATTTTGCATGAATTTTGCATGCATGACACTGCTCGCAAGAACATTTAAAAAGTGCAAAAATTTGTACTATTAAAAATCCAAATAATCCCCCCGACCCACGTAAAGTAAAACTATAAAAGCTTATACACTGAAATAATTTTTAAATTTTACGCATCAAGGCCTGCCTGAAAAATTGCTAATATATTTTATGCCACTAATTTATTTCCGGGTGGAAACAATAGACTGATACCACTCACAAAAGCCTTGTAAACTTTGTAAAATCCGGAAATTATGTAAACGTACCAACTTTTACAAAATTTTACAATGTCTCTAAGCAAAATGAGCTTACAAATTTTCGTAACTTTACTCACGTCTTTGTATTTTGTGAAACTTCGTAAAATAATTTTACAGAACTTATTGATTTTACAAAGTTACCAAGAACTGCGTGACTTGCCTCATTTTTTACAACTCTAACGATTTGCAAGACAGAAACACCCGTGTTGACGAAATTTTACACGAAATACTATCATACTTACCGCGAACTTCAAACTTATTATTAAAAAAATCCTCGATTACAAAGTAAAAGTATCTTAATTCGTGGAAGATGTACCCGGATTTTCAATTACTCAAATTTAACCATAATAAATATTTTGCGGAGTTTAACCCTTACACTTTTATTTTCAGAAACTAAAATGAGTAAGCCAAATAATTTTACTTACAGTAAAAATAAGCTCAAATTGACCAACTCTTGTTGGACACACACATTTCACCACGCAATCTTTTGCGTACTTTGTTCTGCACTCATTTTCCAAACAGATTACCCACAGGAAACAACGTCTTCTTCTTAAACACAGCTTTCTCTACATGGAGAAAACAGACAGGCAGCGATTACAAGGCTTGCGGACAAGATAATTCTCCTCCGACGTTCGAAATCCTTCCATTTTCTCGGTCCAACTCAAAATAAGTGCAACAACAGAACAGCCACTGAGCTGATAGGTTTACGAACTGTGTACCAGCAGGATTTAGGATTTGCAGCAGCAGACGAAGAAACGAAATTAGTTCGTCTTTCTTCTTCCACGAGCTCAAAAAATCTCTCATCCGTCAAAATCCTGCTTTCTCCTCGAACCCAGAATCTTACACGCTCTCACAATTAAATACATGTCCCTTGGTGAACTTGGTTTCAGTGAGTAGAACAATGACGCATTTGACGAAGATCTTTGTAACATTGTAAAATCTGTAAATTTACAGTTTTACCAACATTTTAGGAAAAATTAGCTTCAAAATTTTTTATAACTTTACTTAGGTCAAGAGCGTTTTGTATTTTGTAAAAGTTTGTAACATTATTTATAAAACTTGCGCATTTTACAAGTTGCCAAACAATGGATTTTCTTCTTGCTTGTAAATATTACACTTTTGTAATTATTTTTATTCAGCGTTTCCAAATTCCGTCGTCACATTGTGATTAATCCATGATCTAAAATCTTTATCATTTTTCCTGCAAACTTTCCATGTGCTGCTATGTTCAATTTGCGAGACGTAATGCATTTCAACTTTATTGGAAAGACAACCACCAATCTGACATACGGTTATAAGAATTTTCAACCAATACAAAATCTCCAACCGGCGTTAAAGTCATAATAATCTGTAATTAATTTTTACAATACACAATCCCAAACCATCAAAAACTTATGTGTCTGGAGATTAAAATGGCAAAATTTTGCTATTTCATCCAGCCAATCATTAATTGTTTAATTTTCGCAAAAATTCGCAAAAAATTACTCTGCTTTGTTCAAATTGCGAGATACGTAAGACTTAACGTACCGTAAAGGTAACACGATTTCCACTTGTTTCTTCAACAATGACATATTTGCATATTTATCAAATTCACAGATTTCATCGGACATATATTTTTACATAAGTCACGTGACAATAATTACCAATTAAAGAACAGATATTTATTCCAATCAATATACAAATTATTAGCATGAATATTCTCTCAAATTGTGGGCCAAATTTTATTAACCCGCACCTCAACAAAACCTGCTCAAAACTGCAAAACCAACCAGCACAAAACTTTTACAGTGCCGAAAATTTCAAACCTTTTATCAACTCAAACAACCCATTTTACAAACAAGATGCCACATCACTAAATAGCAAACTTTTTCAAGTTGTCTGCACACCCATTAATCCCACACGGATTAAGGAATAAAATGCCCATACAAACAGAAACAACCCCCCTCGAGACGGGGAATCCTCTGGAACTACTTCGAAACACAAATTGCTTTGTAAATGTTTAAGCGATCCCTTAAGCCGGGTGAAGATTAGCGCTCTCGAGAGAAATTTTGGTGCCAAAAACGATACGTTAAATACTTAAAATTTACTACATACGACTCAGGAGGGGAGCTTGCGAGGTTGATAATAACAGATCCTCATGCCCTTTGGATATGTGGTAGGGTCCTATGAGTGTACTAAAACCCTGAAGTGGTTTGACTCCATGGCCACATTTGCGCCCGCCACACCCACTCAAAAATGCTCAAAAAACGCTTTCACTCCAGTTTTCACTCACTCAAATCCACGCCAAAAATCCAATTTTACTCGGATTTCGAAATTTCTTTCACCATTACACTCCCAGATAGTTGCTTTCTTCAATCCAATATCAAACTCAATTTTGCTGATGATTATTTCGTAGGTATAATTTGTGTTGTTGATTACTACAACAATTCTCATTCAGAATTTTAAATTTTAAAAATACTAAAAATTTCTAAAAAATTGAGTTTGATATTAGATGGAAGAAAGCAACTATCTGGTGAAAGAAATTTCAAAATCCGAGTAAAATTGGATTTTTGGCGTGGATTTGAGTGAGTGAAAACTGGAGTGAAAGCGTTTTTTGCAGTGTGTGCAGGGCAAAAAGGCAGGCAGTGCCGTTTTGTCTGCCTCTTTGCCGTTTTGCCCCACAAAAATGGGTGCCTTTTTGCCTTTTTGCCCTTTTGCTTATTGGGGTGACATGAGACTCAAACACTGTGACAAAATTAAAGTGAAAGTTATTAACTGCGTTACTTTCGATTTTCTTTTAAATTAAGCTGATGACGATGCAAACACACCCATGAAAATATTCAGGAAATATTTAGGAAAAGCATGTTAATTCAAATAATGAAAATATCGACGAAAGTTAGCACCCTAGAATAAAATTTAAAGAACACAATATATTTGGCAATTTGTTTAATACGTTATGAAAAATAACATTACTAATATTCATAAGCACATGAACATTCTTATATAGAATAATAGACGTAACAAAACAAAGAATATTAATGAAGACAGTCACGTATTTTTTAAAGCTTGGTTAATAAATGTAATTTTTCTGGCTTTTTCGACACCTAATCTATTTCGTTTATCTGTAATTGTGTTCGTCATTGCAGAAAATATCCGCTCTAGCCCGGCGCTACTTGCCGGAAGCTCCAATAAAATGCGGCACATTTTAATAAACTCGTCAGAAATTTTTGTGGGATTATCTTGTTGCGCCGTTAACCACCAGTTAATTGGGGAGACGTCGGCCAAGACGCTTTCTTCAAATAAGCAAGGAGAAAATATTGACTCGTCCTTGCATGCCAAATTAAGTGTTAGTGGGAGAAAGTTTTTATCTTGAGTACTGATCCAATCTCGACCATCCTTCTTCATTTCATTACTTAAATCTGCACCTTTAAATTGAAAATCACAGTTAGACTATCATATAGCTCTGATGCATATTGTTGCTGTATTGATGCTAAATTTTAATCCAACTTTACCTCGATAAATAGGATGAATCATACATGCAGCTATTGCAAAGGCAGGAGTACCTTTAGCAAATTTGTCTTTATAATAGCTTTCTGCAAAGAGTTGAGGTAATTCCTTTTTCAATTTTATCCATTCGTGAACTGCATCAAAAATCATAGAAGAATCCTTTTGTAACTAAAATCAATCATAATTAAAACTATTAGTCTCAGTGTCAATATATAAGATATGTCTATCTAAAATAGGGACAAATTTGATTCCCCTATTTAAGGCAATTGCAATTGGTTCCAAGAATTTTATTGAATCATTTGCTTGTCTAAAAATGGACCCATTTTCAATAATCGTTTTCACTTCGTCGTTGACACGGTCATCAGAGCAGGCAATCTCCAGATATTTTCCTTGGTTTGTAATGTAGCTTTTCAGACAATCAATTTGACTGTTCCATCTTGTTTCAGAAGGCAAAACTGGGCGACTATTTTTCAAAGCCGGTGTAACAAAGTCGTGATTCCGAAAACATTTCTGGACTTTAATTATTTTTTGAATAAGTTTTTCAGGAGATGCTTTCTTTCCAACAAGATTAAGAAGGTGTGGATTATCGCCATAACATAAAAGTTCTTTTCCGAGGTCACGTCGCATTTTTTCCATGGTATTGCAATTGTCCGTGACGCATGCTACAATTTTGATAGAAAATTTTTCTTCCGCTTCTTTCCTACAAACTTGAAGCCACTTTGTGCAATTTTCTGCGGTCTTTTCTTCTTCTCCAGGGCATACTGTATCAATAAAATAAACCTTATTTTTCACGAATATCGAATGCGCGATGACGCATTCCTTCTGATTGGTGCTCCATCCGTCTTGATAGTAGCATTCTGGTTTTCAATTTTGCTGATTATATTTTGTTCACATTCTCTGTAGAGATTATCTAACAGATAAGTAGACGCGGTTTTTGGTGTGGGCAGTTTATAACTTGGTCTCAATGATGTAACCCATTCGATGAAATGTTCATTTTCCAAAACGCGAAAAGGTATATTTGATGAGCAAATTGCTTTTTGGAGCTTTTGGTTGATTTCAAGTTGTTGACGATCATTAGTTGAAATAAAGTGGTCTTTGATACTGCTTTGGCTGTAATTTAGCGAAGCTTTTGTTGACGAAGTTGGGAGCATTGAATTTGTCGCAGTAACCGGCGCTGCTAAAATTGTCAATTTTCTTTTCTTGGAGCAATCATTTAAATGTTTGCGCAGCCGATCAGCTTTCGGATTTTTATTTTTCCACTGGCACATTTTACAGCCCCAGAAGTCGTCCCCAATTTCCATATAGCTGTCCCAAATTTGATCTTTCATCCTTCCGCCTTTGTGGGTGCCACTTGATAACTTCTTCTGTTTCGAAGATGGTTCATCGTGGTCATTATCGTCTTCACCGAGTTCACCAGGATCGTAATCTGAAATATTTGACGGATTCGAAGGTTGCCCATCACTTCCGTCTGGATCGTCAGGATTTTGAATCACGTCTTCCAAATGAATTATTGAATCTTCAGACTCTAAATTAAGTAAATAATGGCAAATTAGATAAATCTAATTTAATCAGTTATAGCTCCGAGCGTACCTTCTAATACCTTATTTCTTGACTGTCAAATAAATAAAAACTCATGATGAATCTTTACCTGCAAAAATTAATTGAATAATGATTAATGAAAAACAAAACTAAAACAATTATAAATAAAAAGGATAATGGATAATGAACATATACATACCTTAGTTGAATAACACAACCTATTGACACTTGCCCTTTAGTTAATTTAACCTGAACATTTTATTAGATTGGTTAAATTTAAATGCAGTAAGAAATGTAATTAAGTTTTATAAAACACAATGGTCTCAGTGGAGCGAAATAAAGTCTGGCGGGGTAAACGTCATGGAACCCGGGGAAAAAGGTATCAAAAAGGCATCAAAAAGGCAAAAAGGCATCAAAAAGGCAAAAAGGCACGCAAAAAGGCAATTCGGCATTGAAAAAGGCAAAACGGCATGGAAAAATAGCAAAAAGGCTGCCTTTTTGCACACACTGGTTTTTTGGGCATTTTTGATTGGGTGTGGCGGGCGCAAATGTGGCCATGGAGTCAAACCACTTCAGGGTTTTAGTAGACTCATAGGACCCTACCACATATCCAAAGGGCATCAGGATCTGTTATTATCAACCTCGCAAGCTCCCCTCCTCAGTTATGCAACTCATAAACCTACCAAAACAGCACGAAATATGTATCTACTATTTCAAATGAATACTTAAATTTCCTAAATTTTTTATTGGTTCCCAAATTACACAAAAACGATTAACTTACTTACCTAACCCAAATTGTTGTGTAACGCCTTACACAACAATTATGTAACACCCAAATTTCATTAGAATTTATTTCACTGTAAAACTTTGTAAATAGCAATTTCCAAGTATTCTCGATCCTTAATTCGCTCAGAAATAATTAATTAACGTAATTTTTTCACTACACTGTCAAAACCTGCGGTAGAGTCATATACATATTCCGTACTTGGATAGTTTTGGTAATAACTTCCCACCAGATTGGTAGTAGTTTGTCTGTAAACGTGGTAAATTATTCTTTACTAGGTACAATACTAATATTACTAAATGGTTATGCCCATTTATTACTAGTTCCGGCAGTCATGTACGTATAATTCCGGGCGGTAATAATTTAATGCCCGTTTTGTAACAGTGTAGTTTTCACACTATTTTATTAAACATTTAAGGATTATAAACTAACCTTAAACTTTTCACAAGAACAATTTTCAAATAATTTTGATCCTTACTAATCTTTAAGAAATTTCGCTCGGAAATAATTAATTAGGTTAATTTTTCCACTAGTTTTCGCACTATTAAGCATTTACATAAAGGACCCTTAAACTTTGTCAAAATTCCTTGAACGAGGAATGCTACACAGTTTCTCATCCTTCTTCTCCTGGCAAACAGAGACTGCCGGAGAAAGCAGCTAAATCTGAGTTTTTAGAGGAGAAAGTTTGTACTTGCATTCGACCCTTTCTACGCAAAATAATATGAAACCGGTTACAGAATCTTGACTCGAGGGAAGGATCGATCCATGGAAAAAAATACACTTCAACACAAAAAAAATCATTAACTCTCAACTCAACCTTTCAATGAATTTGGGGAGAAAGACAAAAGAAAAATAGAGCCATGTCAGGATTTCATTACTTTCTCGACTGGATTTACTTTCTACACTAAAATATTTACTTTCAATCCAATCAAGGGTGATAAATTGATAAAAATATATTATCAAAATTCGAAACGGAATTGTATTATCTAATAAATAAATACACGACTTCAGCATGATGCTAGAAAATTTTGATAGTAAAAGTCGCATTTTTTTGAAAATTCTGATTTTTTTCTACAATGATCAAGTTAAGTTTTCCGTTATGTGAAATAATGACTAAATTTCGATAATCCTTACATTATTTTAAAATCTATTACAAGAGTAGATATAAGTATTTCAGAAACTTTTTATTCAGACGTGCAAGCTTAACTATCCATGAAATGCAAATGTAATTAATTTGAAAACCCGAACATAGATATTCGGATAAATTATGTTAGTTTCAATGAATCGAGGTGTCGATTCGACATTTATGCAATTAGTGACAGAAAATCTGATAAAGATGAGTTGGCCTTAAATAGTCGCCAAACTATGGTAAATTGAATTTTTAAGCATTTTCGGATTCCCAGATAAACTTAAGGTTAGTTTGAACTTTTTGTAGATGTACTATTTCATGCATGCAAATTTATCAGAGAGTCTAAAAAATGCTTCAAAATTAAATTTTGAACAAGTTTGTGACTACTTATAGTGTATTTAAGATCAACTCCTCTTAAACTTATTTACAACTCAGGGACAAAATTAAATAGGTGTAATTTTTGGCTTCGTTCGCTTGCAGGTTATTCTCTATGTACATAAGACAGCTTGTTGAATATAAGAGAAAAAATCATAATATCAACTTTGTTGAAAATATTTTAAATGAGATTCTCACACTAGTCCAATATACTTATGTACCAATTAATTATTATTTTCCACCTATTCGAGCTTCAACTTCACCCAGAAATGACCAAATTTAACACCGAGTAACAAAAAATAGTATTTGTAATTCCGTAAATCAAAGATAGATACCTCGTCACTTTCTGCTTTGACGTTACGTAGTTTGTGCAAGTTTTACACAAAAAATTTTCATGCAAACGTTAAATTTATCATAAGCGTAAATGAGAATAACCGCTCCATCTCAAATTTTGATGTCCTTTTGGATATGTACACCCTTAGAAACCCAGTATTAACATAGTACTAAGGGAGATTCATATACGTATGACTCTACTAATGTGGTATTGATAAGTGATCCCGTTTACTCGGTGCTAAAGTTTTACCACATCAGTAACAAATTTTTACGGACCGGTATGATACCAAGCGGTAGCAACTTTAACACCGAGAAATTAATATCTGCTTTACTATACCAGATTTCTAACGGTGTAGCATTTAATATTGGATGAGTGTACTAAAACTTCCACGTGGTTTTGAACCTATCACCACATTTACACCGACTTAAAAGGGCGAAAAACACGACAAATATCATGTTTTCCCTGTTTTAAGACAAAAATCAAATTTTGATCGGATTTTAAAAATGTGTTACTCTTACCTCATGCGTTTGACACGTTTCGCCTCTTGCGATATCACAAAGGTAAAAGTTTTCATGAAAAAAAACCTCAAGTAAAAAAAAAATCTGGTCCTTTTTTACCCATCAACGGAACTAATTTCTTTTTACAAAGTTGTAACAAATCTGACATGAAATGAAACGTTACACGGAAGAAGTTAATCAATGAACAAATTGCACCAAAAGAAGTTGGGGGTGAAAAGGAACACAACTTTCGCACGATCTGTTACCGACACAAAAATCGGTATTGTGAAGAAAAATCGAACTAAAGCCTAACAAATTTGGCAAAACTTTTATCAAAATCTGGTCGACATTTTAGAAATCAGTAATTCTCGTGAAATACATACATAGATTTGTGTAATATGGATCTAGGTATTAATTTTTTGGAATAAATTTACAAAACTTGCACCCTTTTAAGTAACCAAATTTTCATACATTTCCACCAAAATTGAGCTAAATTCTAACAAATTTGACATTTTGTACGGACCTTTTGTCAAAATCTGTTCGAAATTTTCCAAATAAGTAATTCATCGGGAATATCAATATATTAAATTTATAGAATAATTTAAATAGTTCGCAATTGTATACATAACCAAATTTTAAAAGAACCGACCGAAGTACAAGAATTTTTTAAACTCTGCTTATTTTGAAAATTACTTTACAAATTTTCGAAAATCACATCAAAAGATCTAAAGTCTGTAATCTGATTGCTTCCTCCTTTTGCAACAAATACACAGATTTTACTGCATTACAAACATCCACGTGTTTTTTGTTACTCAACATTTACTAAATAACAGAGTAAGGATTCATTCACGGCCGATTGCATGTTTACAGGTACTAATTTGCTGCAGATTTTGGTTACACGCAACTTTATGCTCGATCTATTTTAAGAAACTTATCCCCGTCTAAACCGCAACCGCCTCAAGTAACAAAGCAACACCAACTTTCTTCCTTAACAACTCGACGCGTGTTTATGTATTAGTTGCTCCCTCGTGAAAGTTGGTGGTAAAAGTTGGTGCAAGAAGAAGAACGAAATAGTCCCGTTGCGACTGTTTGCTCAATTATTACGTGGTTTGGTTAGTTCTTCTAACCTCTCGAATTTTATTACGCATCATATAACAGTCTGACATACAACAGACAGGGTTTCGTTATTCGCACACTTTTGCTAGGGGAAAATAACGAAAGGAAATTTACGCAGTCATTGGTAGTAAAATCGGTAAATTTTGTAAAATAATTGTACAAACTTTTATAACATAAAGAGATGCCCTTGATCTGAGTAAGTTTACAAAAAGTTGTAAATTTTCCTTCGAAATATTTCCAATTTTTTTTTAAAGGTTGTAAGTTAACAAAATTTACTGCTTTTGTAATGTTACCAAGGCCTGTGTGAATTGCCTCTGGGTAAAAATGCAAAATAATTTTCAAATTTTTTTTAGTTGCTGGAAAAATATTTATCCCGTGTATATTGTCGCTATTCACTATGTATGAAGCTATACCACCGATAATGGAACGCACTGTCACAATCTGTCCCTCCGAATTTAAAAGAGTGACACTATTAAAATATGTAATCGACTGCAAAGTCTCACAGTGGGAATAATACGGCCAATACATCACATTTACATAATTAAGCATTTACAGTTTACAAATCATTGGGCGTACTCACAACAACGTCTTATTTCGCATCGCAACTCATTTAGCAAACTTGCGAAGATGAAAATATTTCTGTCGTTAGGGGATTTGCAAAATATGACTTCGCAAATCTACTGAAAAACACGTATTTTGGTATTGTATTTATGGATTTCTTTTATTTTTATTTCTCTTGCTGGCGATGGTGAGGATGAATTTGTGAAATAATTTTGAGAAGAACATGTCCAATTGCTGGGTAAATTTGCGAAAAAAAGTCCCATAGCAAAATTTTTGCGAAACTCGCATATCTCGCAAAACTTTGCAAGATATGTTGCTATGCTCAATTTGCGTGATGTGCGAAGGTTGATGTGAATCCGCTCATTGAAAAATGGAAAGAAAATCATTTCATACATCCATTAATACAAAGTTATACAGCCTGATAATAATGAAACAATTCATACAGTTCTTAATAACTTTGTAATATTCGTAAATCTTATAAACTGAGAGCTTTTACAAAATTTTAGGATATATTTCTGAGGAAAATTAGCAACCTCAGATCAAGGGCTTCTTTTTTATTTGTGTAAAGTTTGTAAAATTACTTTGCAGCGGTTACGTATTTTACATAGTTAGCAAAGACTGCGTGAAGTGTTTAATTATTTTTAAAAATTGCGTCGTCTTAACGTTAAATTAATTAATTGATAGATTCTCGCTGTTAATTGTATAATAGGTGTCTTTTGGGAGTAACTCAAGGTTTTTGAGGTTTTCGTATTAATTGGCAATTAATTAATTACAGATTTCATTCAATTGAAGCTAACACATCTTTTAGCCACTACAAAACAATTCCCATGTCTTTAAATTTTTAACTACTGATTTTTCTACTTCTTTTCCATGCTTGCAAATTTGCGCATATTTTCTGTTTCAAAATTTTACTTTCTTATATATTTACTATTCGTACAGAATATGTACATTATTTCGTATGACTAATTTTCATGAAAAACTATGAAAAACCTATGAATTTTCCACACGTATTTCTCTAAGTTTTTAAGCTACTAGTAGTTGTGGGTTATATTTGTAATCGACATAATCGGAAACTTACCACTAATAATTAATTTGAAGTTAACTAAACCCAAATCTCCACATATTCAATAAAATAAAATACAATGAGGGTTTTATCGTAATTCGTGTACAGTCAGGAAATACGGTCGTGGTGGTCGAAGAAACATCTTATGAGTTCCTTCCAAGTCGAGTCTTACAAACACGAAAAAATTTTTTATAAACTTGGTACATTTATAAAATTTCGGTACTCACAAAAATCTCTCATCAATCAAATACTTATTCTTAATTTAGCATCAGCGAAGAAGACAACTGCGGAATCTTATTCGTAATTTGCACTTCTGTATTCTACAACTTTACAATAAACGTCCATCTCTATCAATTTTACCAAAATTAATGATGATCAGATTTGCCATGTACATGCAAAAATCCGAGTGAAATGTATATTCTGCAAAAATTATGATCTAGTTCATACCAACAATCCGAATTATCCCTCTTTATTATCAAACTTTGACATCGTTTTGAGCAACTTTATACAGTTTGGGTACGCAATTTAACAAAGGTTTATTATTTGGTAATAAAATTTTGTATGTTAATTGTTAATTATAAATATCCAATCAATAATTACCTTGATAACTAACTTTACAAAGTTTTGCAAACATCCGAGAGCGAATTGGACCATATTTCAATGTCATCTCCATCAAAAAAGTATGATCTACATCATACCAGAAATCCGAATTATCCATCCTAATTATCAAAACTTTGACGCCGCTTTGAGAAAATTTATACAGTTTGGGTACGCAATGTAACACAGATTTATTATTTGGTAAATAAAATTTTGAATCAAATATACAATCAACAATTAATTCGTAGCCAACTTTACAAAGTTTGCAAACATCTGAGTGTGAATTGGACCATATTTCAATGTCATCTCCGTCAGACTAAATATTAATTATGTAATAATATGTGCCATACAACAAACCCATGCAAACTGTGTCACACATATGCCGATTTGTGTGTGTGTGTGTGTAACCGTGAAAAAATGTGTCTCACAAACGAGACAGAAATAACACACGGTTTACACAAAGAATGGAAAAAATACATTTATTCATACCCTCATACAATGGACAGCAGATGCATCTACAGTGTCATACCAATACTGTGATTTAAAAGCACTGATTACCATATTTCAACAGGGAAATCCACCACTTTTATTCTATCGGGTAGGGGTGCTCATGTCAAAATAAATGTTGAGGCAATTCACACAGGTAACATTGTAAAATCCCTAAACTTATTTAGTATATTTACAATATTTTACAAAATTATAGAAATATTTCTGAGCAAAATTAGTTTACAAATTTTGTAAACTTGTTCAGATCAAGGGCGTCTCTTTATTTTATTTGTAAAATTATTTTATTTTATTTACAAAGTTACCAATGGCACCAATTGCCTAAATTATTTTGCTAAATTATTTGTAAATATTTATAAAGTAAGTAGCTCATAAATTATGTGTAAAGTTTTATAAAAATATACTTTTACATAATTAAGAGATGCCATTAATAAGTTTATTGCCCAATTTTCCTCCGCAATTTTCACACGGCAGTTCAATATCTTGATACATTTGTTCCCTACAAATTTACCGAATTTTCCACTTTTGACGTGAATCACTCACATGATCTGATTTCATATCGATTTGATTGTCACCGAGGAAAAGTCGGCTTTTTATTTAATTGTGCAATGTCGTGGTCCCACTGCTCACTGCACTGATAAGATACTTAAACTTCAATCAGTTACATCGAGTCCAATTTAATCTGAGTATCGATACTGATTTTTTAAGATTGAATTCCATTGTGACCAAAATCACAGTCCATCCCATTACACATTTTGCCGACAACATGACACCAATATTGGCACAAGTCTGATTAATTATTCAAATTAATTGAGTTTAAAATTAAAGAATTTAAATTAATTAAACTTATTTAATTGGGAATTTATTTAAAAATATATTTCACAAATTATATCTCACCCGTGATTCGTGAAGTTTTCAATAATCATCAAATCCATACATCGCATGAAATAAAATTTGAAAGGATAATTACAAAATTGTATAAACTTACTAAATAATTATGGATTTTAAAGAGAAAGAATTGCGAAAAAATCCCCGAGAAAATGCGAATCCTTTGTCGACCTTGTTTTTTTGGTGGATTAATCCACTCTTTAGAAAAGGAGCAAAAAATGATTTGGCCATGGACGATTTATACAGCGCTTTAAAAGAAGACGAATCTGAACGATTGGGCGATCAATTGGAAATGTAAGGAAACAAAATATTTCGGAAATTTATAATTTGTAAGACTTGGATGTTGTTCAGAGTAATCTTAGAAAAGTCTAAATATAATCGTTATGAAGATATTTTCCTTCTGACCAGGCGAGTTTTTACTGGGGTTTTAATTGGATTATATATTCAAAAGACATTTTGTTAAAAAATAATCTCATAAAATTCATTGATGAAATTTTTAAAAAATTCAGTTTAATAATTGAAAATGATTGGAAGAACTTTAAGATTTTTTAATTAATTTATATTAATTAATGAATTAATTAATTTTAAAGTTAATTAAATCTTAAACTTCTTATTAGCCTAATATATACCAATCATAAAAAATAAAAGTAGAAATTGTAAGATGAATACAAAATAAAAAAAACGTATTCCAAAATATTTAGGAAATATATACTAGTAAAAGTTGGACGCTGTTTTGAATAATATTAGAAAAGCTTTTCAAAACATAATAGTTAAGAAGGTTTTTCCGACGAAATTTGTTACTTTATTTATTGCCTTTAATGTCGGCTGGACTATAAAATTGAAAATATATTGTATTAATAAATAGTATTTAGAACAATTGAAAATAAGGCGGTACAAAAAGAATTTTTAAGATTTTAGTTGGACAATGGAAAATAATGGCGAATAAGGAATTTAGACTTTTTAATTAGGGGAGATCCATAAATTATGTCACGCAAAAAAGCCCTTTTTTAGGACCCCCCATCCCTGTTGTCACGCCGTTGTCACGCTCGTCGTGACCCCTCCCCCCCTCTTGTCACGTCACGCCTGAAAATCTGAATTTTTCCAATAGCTAGAACAAGATACATATGTTGCGATACATTTTTTAATTGAACATTTTTTGAATCATGCAGTTGTCTTCAATTGGTACACATTTTTGAAACTATGATAAATAGGGTTCTTACGGACGAATTTTTTAAATTCTGCAAATCTTTGGAGATTTAGTAATGTTTTTTAATTGCTGAATTTTTTTTAATTGTGACGATTTTTTGAAATTATGCAAACTTCATGGCACCATGATTTGTTTTATTTTTTTATTGTCAAACAATTGGATGTTCTGCAAATTGTTTGAAGGTTTGAACAAAATTTAGAAACTTGATTGAAAATCTCAAAATCTAAAACTTGGTTGAAACTTTGGATGCTTTGGATCAAAGATTTGATATTCGGTTAGACATATAGATATTTCTAAATATTTGCGAGACTGTAGTTTTGTCATAGTATACAGTGTTTCGCTTTTGCCGGCTAAAATCGTTTTTTGTTGGCCAGTGGTCAAAAGTGGTCGAAAGTGGCCAAAATGGTAGAAAATGGTCAAAAGTGGTCAAAAGTATTCTATTGGCTAATGGTCTGCGCGGCGGGTTTAAACAGACTCTCGGCCGGTATTATTTATTCTTTGCACAAAAAATAACCATAGTTCTTACAAAGTAATTAAAATAGTCTGTAATAATTACTAATCTAATAAATTCAACTTGGACAAATACAGTAAGTAATGTATACATTTGCTTGATACTTGAATATTTTAATGGCTCATTGGTCAAGTCGTAACTATTCCTGTGTCAATTATTAATGATGCAATTTGTAATTTATTGCTTATTTGTAGAGATAAAAACCAATTTTAAAATTTTAGATCCAATCAAACAGCGATAAGGAGCCTACAACTTGTTCTGCTAGATCCTGATGAAATCCTGAATGTCCTTAGTAAAATCATTAACTTATCATTATTCCTTGTCGCAGAATGCCCCATTTTTGCATTTTGACCGCTTTTGGCCACTTTTGACCATTTGCCACCTTTTTTGGTAAGTGGTCAAAAGCCACTTTTGGCCGCTTTTGACCGGCGGTCTGGCCAATCCGGTTATTGCCAAGCGAAACACTGATAGTATACGAATTAAAATTTGAGTTAAAGTTTGTATTAAGATAGGCCTGGAAAACGTGATGTCACGGATCGGCCGAACCCCCCCTCCCCATATGTCACACTTTGTCACGGATTCTTGGAACCCCTCCCCCCATCTTCAGCGTGACATAATTTATGGACCACCCCTTAATGGAAATTAATTAATGAATGAGCTAAGCGAGTTCTAATAATCTTAAAGTTTTTTTCGCCATTATTTTCTAATATAAAATGTACACCGGATTTAAAATTATGCAGAAATTATGCAAAAATTTATAGGCTGTGGGTGGATATGTATATGTAAAAAGTACATCCACAGATTTATCGAGATTTAATCATTTTTACGAAACGAATAATATTTACTACATGCAGAATTAGGAAGTGATGCATGCAGTCGGATCTTAATGTTCAAATTTTATATTATGGCAAAATTGAAGTAATTAAATTTTTTAAATTTTTTTTTGCAGAGCATGGAAAAAACAATTAGAGAAGAAAAAATCGGGGAAAAAGCCAAAACTTTTCAGAGCATTAATTTCATGTTTCTGGAAATTGTACGCCTTTCTAGTTTTTGGTTTAATGTTGGACGAGTGGGTGGTCAGGTAAGTATGTAAATCGTTACTCACACCAACTTTGAAAACTTGATAAAAAAATCAAAAAATTTTCAAAATTAAAAACTTAGTTTCCTAAAATTTATAAGGGCACGCCATGTTATGCTTTAAAGAAAGCTTTTTATACTGCCTAGAATATTTTGAAAATTCGTAAAAATTTAGGCAATTTGCAAAGTTGTAAAGTTTTCGCGTTAATGGTAATTTTAAATTTGAATACATTTCAGAATCGCGCAACCCTTATTTCTCAAAGCTTTAATCAATAGCTTTTCGGATGGTTCGGAACAATGGGAAAAATACAGTTATGCAGCCGGTGTTTGTGTAACCACGCTTTTACACACGCTACTCCTCCATCCAACCATGTTTGCGAGTATGGGAAATTACAACAATTATTTTTATAGCGATGCAAATTACAAAATGAGCTAAAATAACGTATCATTTTACAATTTAGATCAGCACGTGGGAATGAAGTGTCGTGTGGCAGCATGCTCCATGATTTATCGAAAGGTACGAGAGGAAATATTTAATAGCGGACATATTTTATGAAAAATTGTGGAAATATGTATGCAATTTAGTAAGAAATATTTACGAAAAGCTCTAATATTTTTCTGATTAATGGATTTAAAAAAATTAAATAATTCGCTAAGAATATACGTAATCAAGAATTTGGTTAGGTTAGAAGATTTTCAAGGCGAAAATCATGTTAAAAAGTCGTCACAGTATTTCCATGTTTGCGAGGAATGATTATATTCCATAAAATTGTATAAGGCTACAAACTTGTTGTTATTTTCATAATTCCTAAAAACAAGTGTTTACAATTTTTTCAGGTTTTGAAATTAAGTAAACGAGCCCAAGGAAAAACTACGATTGGTCAAATGGTAACATTTCTAAATAATAAAAGTTTTTTCGGAAATTTTCATTTTTCAAATTCTAAATTTTTAGGTCAACCTTCTCTCCAATGATGTCATCCGATTCGATACAAATCTCATGTTTATCCCGTACCTGTTAATTGGTCCCGTTCAAATCGCAATTTTTGGCTACTTTTTATACCAAGAAGTCGAATTTGCAGCATTCGCTGGGATTGGATTCGTCATTTTGTTGATCCCAATTGAATGTAAGTAAATCGATTTTCTTTACAGTAGCAAATTTAGTAAAACACATTCATTTGTAATTTTATAAAATCTGTAAATTTTGCAAAATAATTTTACAACCTTTTACAAACTTTTACAGAATAAAGGGCATTATTAATATAAGTAATTCCAGTAACAATTTCTTCTCGTAATCTTTAATGTATTGTAAAATTTACGAATTTATGTGCCGGGTTGTAAATATTCCACGGATTTAGTTTACACGGTTTTTCGTAATATCTTAAAAATTTAAAAAAAAATCCGCTTACAAAAATCTCCCAATTATAAAACTTTGCAAGATTACAAAGAGATCGTATTTTACAATGTGCGGCAAAAATTGTATGGTTTGTAGCTCATGACGTTGGAAAAATTGGATGGTAAATACTAAAGCATAAATTAAACGCCTCTCGACATATTTTTGAAGTGGCGGCTTCAGTCAAAATTTGTTTAGATGCCTGTGCCATTATCCATTTTTTTAGCGTATATCGTTTTAAATTTGACCACAGAGTTACAAACACCTGCGTTAATATTTCCAATTAGTTAATGTACGAAGCTTTATTTATTCAAAATTTGTCAATTTATACAGGAAAAGCAGGTCTAATATAAACTTTGAAATGTTCTAAATAAAGTTATAAAATATTCATGTATAATTTTGCAAACCATCGTCTCTTAAAATGTTGTAAAAATTTTTGGAGGAAAATCAGCTAGGCAAGTTTTTTGTAAATTTATACAGATTTATGCACCTTATTATCTTGTAAACTTATTTTACAAAATTTACCGATTTTATAACTTTACCAAGCCACATAGATAGGTAAATTGTGTCGTTGAGGAGGCAATGCAGACAGTCCTTGGAAAACTTAGATTATAAATTTAGATTCGAAAAAATCTTTTCTAAATTTTAGAAAACATTTTTTTGAATTTGATAATTAATCTAATTGGGATACTTGTTTTAAAATTTAAGATTTTCGTGAAAATAAATACAAAAATTTTAACGGCATCCCTAAAATTTATGGAAAAATGTATGAAAATTTTCTAGTAAATTAAAGTCAATAAAATCTGGGTAAATTTTGTAATAAAATAATTATTGAGGTAATTTATGCAGGCCTTGGTAACCTTGTAAAACTCGTAAATTCTGAAAACCTACAAACTTTTACTACTTGAATTGAAAATTTTCTATTTGCCCATGAACAAAATTATTTTACAGACGCGATCGGACGAATGTTTACCGGATATCGGTTCCACATCGCGCGCAGAACGGATGAGCGTGGCAGGATCATGAGTGAAATCATTATTGCGATGAGAGTTATCAAAATGTAAGCAAAAAACTTTCAACAGATAAATAAGTAGAGAATTTACGATAAATTAAGATATAAAATTTTAGTAAAAACATGATTAAATTGATTGATTGCTTGATAATGAAAGCATGACCGAAAAATCTGAAAGCCATTTATTATAAACCCAACTGTGCAAAATAATCGTAACTGATGTTCAAGTCTGACAAATATGTAACGATATAATTTTTGGAAACTTCCAATTTTACACAATTTACATAGTCAAACACGTTCAAGTGAATTGCATACGGAGTTGTAAAAAACATCTTAATTTGTAACCCATACTTTTAAACAAATTCGTTAATTTCGTAAAAACAAATTTTTGTAAAGTACAAATATCACACAGTTTACAAAAATTTATGCTAACAATGCAAGTCTTTTACGTGTACAACTCAGATCTGGTCGAGACCAATTTTATTTTCTTCACCACAAAAAATAAGCATGCCCGTATTTTTTCATTTTTCATAATGCGCTAATTTGAGCGCGGGGCGCGAATTTTAAAACATTTTTCAGCCAAAACCTCGGTTTTTTAAAATTCTGTAACTTTTCCAATTTTAGCGCGAATCCAAAAATTCGAAAACATTTGTCTTCAGAATGACTTACTTGACTTATGAAAAATCTACATGCATAATGTTTTGAAAATTTAAAAATTTGAAAGAGTTTATAATTTTAATGAATTTCAAAAGCTGGCAAAAAATTTTGAAAATCAAATTTCGAGACAATGGGATTTTTCATAAGTCAGGTAAGTCATTCTGAAGAGACATGTTTTCGAATTTTTGGATTCGGGCTAAAATTCCAAAAGTTACAGAATTTTTAAAAACCGAGGTTTTGGCTGAAAAATGTTTTAAAATTCGCGCCCCGCGCTCAAATTAGCGCATTATGAAAAATGAAAAAATACGGGTATGCTTATTTTTTGTGGTAAACAAAATAAAATTGGTCCCAACCAGATCTGAGTTGTACACGTAAAAGACTTGCATTGTAAGCTAAAATAATGTTTCACATTTCAGGTACGCGTGGGAAAAACCGTTTGCCGCAATGATTAACCGGGTCAGAAAGTAAGTAAACATTTTATAATAATTGATTATACTAATTAATTTAATTAATTGAATAATAATTAATTAAATAGTTAATTAATTAATTAATTACTGATAACTGATGTAAATACAAACAATTTACAGATCCGAAGTGCAAGTGTTAAGAAAAGCGTCTCTCCTTCGAGCAACTTATCTCTCTTTGTACATCTCATCGGCCAGAATGGTGACTTATTTTGTCTTCCTTGCCCACATTCTGGATGGAAATCCGCTCCGAGCAGGTTAATTTTTGCAATATATCTGTAATTCGCAATTTTGCATAAAGGCAGTTTACGCAGTAATTACAACATTGTAAATCAGTAGGTTTTGTAAACTTATAAACTTTTACAAAATTTTACAAATATTTCGAAGGAAAATTAGTTTACCAATTTTTGAAAACTTATTCAGGTCAAGGGCGTATTTTTATTTTTTAAAAGTTTGTAAAAATATTTTACAAGAAGTATGATAATGAATTATTAATTAATTAATTAATTAATTAATTAATGATTACGTGAATTGCCTCATTCTAATTTAAGAATTTGCATAATTAAGCTAATAATTGATATTTAATTTGTTTAGACGTCGTATTTTTCTGTCTCACAATTTTCAACACGATTCGACAAGTTATGATCAGCTATTTTCCGACAGCGTTGGCCGCCATATCCGAATTGTTCGTGTCGATTGACAGGATTGAGGTGAAATTTTCAATTTAAAGAAATTCACGTCGAACTTTGTAATTGTATAAATCGTTTAAAAGTTACCAAATTATTACAATTTTGTGAACAAAATATAAGAAGTACAAGGTTTCACGTAATCATCTTCAAATTATAGAAACTTTGTAATTTAACAAAATTTATTAAGTTTACAAAGTTTACTACTTTAGTGTGAATTTCGTATTCTATTTTTCTTTACTTTTAAATAAAATTCCCAGGGATTTTTACTATTGGAAGAACAAAAGTCTAATGAAAACGAACACATCAAAATTGTTCTTCCCGAAAAAACCGGTGAGATTAATGAGGCTTCCATCAAAATGGAAAATGTAGATGCAAGGTAAATAAATATTGAGGCAACCTTTGGTAACTTTGTAAAATACGTAAACTCACAAACTTTTACACAATTTTACAAATATTTCTGAGGAAAAGTAGCTTACAAATTTGTGTAAGTTTACTGAGATCTTTTTTTTTTTGTAAAAATGTGTAAAATTTCTTTACAAAATTTACCGATTTTACAAAGTTACCAAGCACTGCTTGATTAGAAGAATTCTTGTGTAAACTTCGTAACATATCGAAGCCTAAGTAAATCGGATTTTTTAATTAGTTGGACTGGTGAAAAATTGAACTTGAGTCAAATTAATTTCAATTTCAAGGGAGACAAATTAGTCATGGTTGTTGGACAAGTGGGTTGTGGAAAGGTAATCATTCAAGCTATTTTTCGTAAAATTTACAAAACTTATTTTACAAACTGGTCAAATTTAAAATACATCTTTTACATAACTCTCAAAGTATCTGTAAACATTTGCATAATTGGATACATGTTACAAAAAACCTGTTTTAGGTTTGTAAAGTTTACAAAAATATATTAATTAAACGAAAACTTAAAATATCAGAGAAACTCATGTGAAAATTTTCAAAATCTAATTTCAATTCGAAACAGTTTTTACAAAATTCACAAAATTTTTGAAACATCTGATTCTCCTATTTCGAACTATCTGCAAAATATTTCCGAAGCTGAATTACATTTTGGAAAAACAGTTTTAGGCTTGTAAAGCTTACTACAAGCTTACAAAATTTTACAGAAATTTAAATGAACCCTTCCAAAAATTAGAGAAACTCATCATGTAAAGTTTTTACAGTAAAAATTTTCAAAATAGATTTTATTTCTAAAATAATTTTCTAAAATTTTACAAAATTTTACAAAATTTTTTCTAAAATTAATAATCCTACAAATTATTACACACATAATTTCAGACTACATTGCTGCACACGTTACTTGCTGAGCTTCCCATTACGGCGGGAAATTGCAATATTTACGGCCGAACGGCATATTCATCTCAAGAATCTTGGATTTTCGGGGGAAACGTGAAACAAAACATTTTATTCGGACAATCCTTCGAGGAGCAGAGATACAACGAGGTCGTCCGCGTCTGCGCGTTGGAAGACGACTTTAAACAATTACCTCACGGTGATCAGTATGTAAATATGATTATAAATCGGTAACAAACTCGTCACCGCTTCTCTAATAATGGAACCCTTTTCAAGCTACATCGGGATTTTCTAGAGAGTTTTATCAAAAAATCAAGCGAAAAGTTAGGAAGCACGTGGCACTTATCTTTCTGTTGAATAGCCCCTTTAAAAAATATTTGGGGTCAAAGTTCATATGTCCACCCTGGTTTTCTACCCGTGGAGGAAAAAGCGAGAGCAAATTTGTTCAAGGATTGAACTTTGCCACCAATATTTTGATTCATAGGGGTTGTTCATGATAACTTTCAGCTTGATTTTTTGATATAACTCGCTAGACTGGTGAAGATTGAAAAAAGGTTCTATTCTAATTCACTACATGGCTACCACGTAGGTAAATATTTGTAACGGAATGGTAACAATAATTTCTTGGAGATTCAAAGCTGTTAGTGACAGCTAGTGGTCTCAACGGTTCTCGGTTCTCATAGAACCGAACCGGAACCGATGGCTCGGTTCGGTTCCGGTTTATACGGAGAACCGAACCGAACCGAAACTTTTATTACCGGTTCGGTTCCGGTTCCAAGTCTTTGAGAACCGAACCGAACCGGCCGGTTCGGGTTGAACCGAACTTCATACATAAATACATTAGCGAAGTTAATCATATTTTCGAAAAAGTTTTACGAATTTCCCGAAATACACATAGTTTCCAAAATGAAATTTTGACGTGGCCGCACTGCCAAAGTTCCCAAAATGAAACTTTGACATGGCCACACCCCCAAAGTTCCCGAAATGAAACTTTGACTTGGTCACACCCCCAATGTTTCCAAAACCAAATTTTGACTTGATGACACGCCCAAAGTTCCCAAAATGAAACTTTTATTTGGTCACACCCCCAATGTTTCCAAAACGAAATTTTGACCTGGTTACATCCCCAATGTTTCCAAAACCAAATTTTGACTTGATGACACCTCCAAAGTTTCCAAAATGAAATTTTCACCCCCAAAGTTTCCTAAACGAAATTTTTACCCCCAAAAGTTTCTAAAATGAAATCTTTACTTGGTCACACCCCAAAGTTTCCAAAATGAAATTTTGACTTGGTTACACCCCCAATGTTTCCAAAATGAAATTTTTACTTGGTCACACCCCCAATGTTTCCAAAATGAAATTTTTACTTGGTCACACCCCCAATGTTTCCAAAATGAAATTTTGACTTGGTTGCACCCCAAACTTGGAATTGTTTTCTAACTTCAATAATATATATATACATAAGTGGTTTTGCTGTTGACATGTATTAGAATTTGCTTGTTTAAATACAGATAAGTTATTGGCTTATATGTGAAATTTCATCAGAAACACGTCAATTAGCATTGTTTGTTGTTTATTGCATATTAATAACACTACCGGTTTGACCCGAACCGCCGGTTCGGTCACGGTTTGGTCCGGTTCCGGTTCGGTTCCAACTAAAAAAAGTTCGGTTCTGTTTCGGTTCTTCAATTCTGGTTCTCGGTTCTAAACCGGTTCTTCCAAGAACCGAACCGAACCGCACCGTTGAGACCACTAGTGACAGCCTGTCACCACGTTTTAATGAACTTATCCACAAAGATAGACAAATGCCAAATTTTTCCGCCATTTAAGTAAAAAAAAAAATGAAAAACTTTATGCTGGAAGGAAATTTTTAGATAAATTTACTAATAATACAAAATGACCAAGAGTTATCAAAATGTAATTTAGCACAATTTATCAAAAATTGTTGCCACATTTTTATAAATTTTTAACGAAAAGGTGTGAAATTTTGGAGAATTTATTGTTACTATTAGTAATAGCTCCGTGTTAAAGTTTTGCCATATCCGTCCGTAGCAAATTTCTATGGACCAGAATAATTTTAATACCAAACGGTAGCAAATTTAATACCAAGAAATCTATACCTGGCTAACTATACCAGATTTCTAACAGTGTAATAATTCACTCCAGGACAATTGTCGGCGAGAGAGGGGTAGCTTTATCCGGAGGCCAAAAAGCCCGAGTCGGTCTTGCCCGGGCGATCTACCAAAAAGCGGACATCTACCTGCTAGATGATCCTTTGTCCGCGGTGGATTCAAAAGTTAGCCGACACATTTTCGAAAAATGTGTCCGAGATCATTTAACCGGACACTTGAGGATTCTTTGCACTCACCAATTGCAATATTTACCGCTGTCCGATCACGTCATCGTGTTGGAGGATGTAAGCACATTTTTTCATGAAAATTCGACCAACTCACGTCAATCTCGACACAAATATATTTGAAAATCGTTTTCGACAACTTTTTCATGAAATTTTGCCACCGGATTTTTAGCCAATTTAGCAACAAAATATTTTCAAAAATAAAATCACTCCAATAAATTACGAATTTTTCCAAAATCGTGACATGTGTCAGACAAAGTGATGATAGATTTATGCATAACTCGTCTTTCATTCTTCGTAAACTGTACATCATCCCAAATTTGATAAGAACAAGAAAATATACGAAATAGATAAATTTAGCGAAAGGACGACGCTTGTGGGCGTTTTTATGCAAAAATTGCAATTAAATAATTCTTCTGCAGATACTATCAGTGGCCTTCGGTAAAGTTTCATTGTTCCGCAGAAATTCGCAGTTACATTATTTTTGGCGACAATTATACTGGAAATTCATATCAAACGATTTTAATCTCAATTTCCTTCAAGTATTTTTTGACGCATGAAATGAACGAAGGGAAAATAGAGGCAAACTTCAGATCACGATTTATTTATTTCACAGGGAAAAGTTCTTGCACAAGGAACTTATCAAGAGTTATCGGACCGAGGAGTAGACTTCGTCAGTTTGATGACCAGTGATAGCGTGGATGACGCCGTGAGCAAGAGTGGAGTCGCCAGTCCGGAAGAGGTTCGAGTTTTTGGAAAATTATTCATAAAACTAAATTATTTAAAGGGTCATAAAGTTACGACTATAACTAGAATTATTCCAACATTTCATAAATATTTGAGCTCTTTTTTTCATGTAAATATATATGCAATTCTCAACATTATTTTTTATTTGAAAGGATTTCGTTCATTTACCTTATTTTGAGGAGCTCATCCCATCTGTGATTTCACTTAGCATTCAAATTTGCTTGGAGACATCATAAATTTCTGGTGTTTAAGTCATACAAAACCAGTGTTTCGGGAGGAAGTAACCACGTGCATGAAATAACGGGGAGAAAGTAGTTTTTGCAGGTATTTCTACCTTTAAGAAATACAAGAAACTACGCCCTGCCGCTATAAATACTTCATACGGCGCTTAGATAGATTGCGCATATTTCTTGCACGTTCTTGCAATTTCTTGCACCTTGAATTTCTTCCATTTCTTACATTGCAGTGCAAGAAATGTAGCAAACAATTTATTGAATGGAAATATAGTACAATAAATATATTATTAGTGCAAGAAATGTAGAAACGAAATATTGTAGAAGAGTGTAATCTGAGGAACTCCTTAAACCAGTCACGTGACTGAACTATGATTTGATTACTAATTTAAATAGATTTATACTGAATATTTTTAATTCTAATAAGAAAAATCTGATTCTGCAGGTTCCAAAAGAGGCACAAAAAGACAAAGGAAAGCCGGAAGCTCAAGTGGAGAAAATGGCGGGAGGCTCCGTAACATGGAAGACATATTTCGACTACTTTCGTTCCGGAGAAGCCACGTTATTCTTGTACTTTGTAATCTTCGCGTTTGCCTCGTCACAAGTCGCTTTTACTGCGGCGGATTACTTTCTCTCCATGTGGTAATTTTTATTTGATTAAAAAAACACAAGATTTCCCGCAAAAATCTTGAACCTTATGAACTTACAAATTTATGTCGATTCTATAGATTTACAGATTTTTAGTCTCACTCTACCCCTACTTAATGTCTTCAAATAAGAATTGTAATTTATTGTTGAGGAAGTTTGCTGCGAAAAATTTGTAAATGAATTAGCAGTTTTTTGATAGGTTTGTCGCACAAAAAATTAACGTTACATTGAAACATCAAAAGTTGTATTTACCTCAAAACTCATGAATATCTGGTATTTTACATATTTGCATTTAAAGACATTTAATAGGGGTAGAGTGAGATTAAGAATCTATATCACCTCTTCATCATACGTAGCCTTAAAATCGCACTCGATGTATTTTAAGTTATAGTTTTTTTAGTCCATGGTGCTTTGACTTTTCAGAACTTGATATCCATTTTTGGCAGATTTATCAAATTCTAAAAGTTGAAAATAATTAAGAAAATACAAGAATTGGTAAGGGTTTCACGTCGAAAATATTTTTATTCAGAATAGATCAGGCAAATATACACGTTCAGGTGGTTCCATTTCTTAACGGGATAAAAATTTAAATTCGTAACATCATTTCCAGCGCTTACAAAAATTCGCTCCATGTACAAATTCCCTCAATTTTTTTCTTTAATTCACAGGACTAAAGCGGAAGAAGAACGAGAATTTCGGGCCCGACAGAGAGCCACGACTACAGTTTTGCCCACTAATTTCAGTCAATTTTCGAACATTTCGCCAAATTTAATTCGACCCAATGCCCACGACTGGATCCCCTCGGATGACGACGGGTATTTGGGGGAGGACGTGTACCTCTACTCGTACACGGGCATCGTCATGGGAATCTTCTTCCTCACCAAGGCCAGAGCACTTTCCTTCTTCCTCTTCTGTATGCGAGTCAGTGTTCGAGTGCATGACAAAATGTTCAAAAGCATGGTTCGAGCCCCGATCAAGTTTTATGATGATAATCCCTCGGGAAGAATTATGAACAGGTTTGGAAATTTTATTTTTTGAAATTTGTGGGTGTAAAATGGGAGAAATTATTTGGTTTAAAAACTAAAATATGTATGTAATATGTACCCAAGGAAAAAGATAAGGCTTGCATACCTAGCAAAAAATGACAAATTTAGGCGAGGCAGTTCACACACTTGGAAACATAGTAAAATCTGTAAATTTCGTTAATTTCCAAACTTTTATTTCTGAGGAAAATTGGCTCACAAATTTTTGTAAATTCACTCAGATCCTTTATTTTGTAAAAGTTTGCACAAGTATTTTACAAAATTTACAAAGTTGCAAATGGCTAATTTTTACCGAGAGGAAATCCACACAGGCCTTGGTAAATAACCTTGTAAATTCTATAAACTTACAAACTTTATAAAATCTTACAAATTTTTCTAAGGAAAATTAACTTTGCAAATTTTTGTAAGTTTACTCAGAACTTTTTTAGTATGAACAAGTTTGTAAAATTATTTTACAAAATTTACTATTTTACGTTACCAATTACTGCCTGAATTTCCTTTTTTGCTAACGATAATGACACACTCGTAATGAATACCCCCATTGATTTCTCAGACTGGAAGGGAAGATTGAGGCTTTTCTTTCTTTCTTTCCTGCTGAGAAAACAGAACAGCGAGAAGTTTTCTTGACGCGTGACAAGGAAAACGTCTCCCCGAAATCCATGGCTTTCTTTCTCTCTGTCGGATCGGGAAAAGAAATGTGACATGTAATTCAGAGTAATTGTACATCGTTCTTATTTTGACGGAGTATGTAGCTGGACGCGAACGTTTATGATCAATAACAACAACTCCAGCTTATGTACAAACAAATCCGACTTGTGGGAGGGAAGACACGGAATTTTGTTGTTAACAGTGAAGTTGTATACATGTCGTAAACTCTTAGAAAACAACTGGTATTAAATCATTACTGACCGGAGTACATATGTATGACTCTACCGGCACGTTAATAACGAGAATTATCGTTTAGTAATGTGGTGGTAATGAAAAATTTACCATTGAGAAAGAAACTACTACCAATCTGGTAAGAAGTTAGCACCAAATCAATACCAGTACGGAGTAGATACGTGACTCTACCAGATTTTTAACAGTGTCCATACGTAATATTTACCAGACATGTAAACTAATTTCACACACTGTTAGAAATCTAGCATAGTCAGGGAGGAATTGATTTCTCGGTGCTAAAGTTGTTACCGCTTGGCATTAAAATTATACCGATGCGCAAAAAATTTGTAAAGCTAATACCGAGTTATTACCACACGTTAGTCAATACCAAGTTGGTAGAGTCATATATGAATAGTGACTGCCGCTTTGTATTAGTTTAATACTGGATTGCCGTGCCAAAAATACCAATTTATGGCCAAATTTGGTGCAAAATTTATTTTCATAACCTGAGCATTGCACAAATATGGACACAGTAGAACCAAGACGGAATCTGTTTATTACTCGCTATTATTATATGAATAACCGAAAATTAATAATCGGCGTTTATGTTTGACATAATTTTGACATTGAAATTTGAAATTTTGACTAATCATTTGAAATTCTGATAAATGATTTCAAATTCAATGTGTGAATTACATTTGTCCCAAAAAAGAGAGCGCACAAACTGATTATTAAAATTGTTCTCATTGCAATTTGAAATTAAAAGTAAGCTGGAATAACTGTTTGCAGAACGAAATTGCTTCAAATTTTCATAGCAACTATATTTTTTTGCATGGACTCTATTTTTGTGTTGGGATAATTTTAGTTTTTTTTCTGTTTTACAAACTTTCAGAAACTTTTATCAGTCAAAGTCATATTTATTATTACTGTTTACATACTTAATCGGTTAGGAATCCAAATTTCTGCACATTATCCTAACTTAGGATAATGTGCAGAAATTTGATTTGGCATCAGTATGGCTAGAGGTTTGTTACCCGCCAGCTTGTTTAGTTACTAATGGGGTTACATTTTATTGCCAATATTTTCCTACCAAGTTACAAAATTAGTTATCAAATTGGTAACGCAAATTTTATCATAATTCAAATTCTGATCATTTAAATATTTTGGCAGATTTACCAAAGACTTGGGCTCCATGGATGAACTTCTTCCGTACGCGATGTTTGACGCGATTACAATTTTCCTCCTCATGTTGACCATGGTGGCGTTGATTATTAGCTCGAATTACTACATGGCCATCCCCACCTTCGCCCTGCTAATTATTCTCTTCGTCATCAGACAATACTACATAAAAACGGCTCGTGCCGTCAAACGGATTGAAGCTTTAAGTAACTAAATTATATGATTTTGGTAACATGTTAAAAAAATAATATTTTTAATGAATGAGATTTATGCCAAATTTGCAAGGTGTGCCAATTACCTATTAACCTATTTTCAAACTTTGTTCAGATGTAACTTGTGGATTTTTAAGTTTTTGATAAAATTTCCTAAACATAATTAGTAATTTTTTGTACTTTGGAATTTGGAATCGTTCAGACTATTCATATTAGTGGGGTAAATCGGCTAACAAATTTTTTGTAAATTCATAGCAAGGAAATTCATTCACGCAGCCATTGGTAACTTTGTAAAATCTGTAAATTTTTTAAATTAATTTTACAAAATATATGTGTAAAAAGACTGGATCTGAGAAAGCTTACAAAAATTTGTGAGCTAATTTTCCTTAGAAATATTTGCAAAATGTTTATGAGTTTATGGATTTTACAAAGTTACAAACAACTTCGTGAATTGCTGTGTTGAAAAGCACCACCTAACTCAATCAATTTCATAACAACGGAAATTTACTTGAATTTTTGTAAACTCAGTTTTCAAAATATTTTAGCAGAAAGTCAGGTTGGAAACCTACATTGGTCACTCAATAAAATATAATTTTCTACAAGTTTACAAAGTTACAAAAATACACTTGAAAACCGTTACTCTAATTTTTGGTCAATATATAATCACAAATTTCCTTTCGTAGCTCGAAGTCCAATTTTTACCCACGTCGTGGCATCAAGTTCTGGATCTACCACGATACGATCTGCCAATGCGGAATCAATCCTAGTAAAACAGTTTGACGGACATCAAGTAATTTGAAAATCTATATTTTGAAATTTTTATAACTTTGGAATTTACTTATTTAATCGAGGCAATTCACGCAAACCTTGGTAACTTTTGTAAAATCCGTAGACTTAAAAATTTTTACAAATATTTTCAAGGAAAATTAACTTACAAACTTGTATAAAGTTACTTAATTTTTCCTATGCAAAATATGACCTGATTTAATTGATTATAGCATAATTAAACTTAAATAATTCAATGTTGGCGTACGACACCAAAATTGGCAACTTTTTGCAAAGTTTTCAAAGAACTTCGTGAACTGCCTCATTAAATCTTGACTAAAATATTATTTCACCTGCAGGATATTCATTCCTCGTCGTGGTATATTTTTATTTCCGCTAATCGGTAAGTCTCTCAGTTAATGATTATTTTTCCAAATTTGAAAAATGTTATTTTAATTTTTGATTGAAGCTGGTTTGGAGTCTGGCTTGAAATGATCTCGGTCGCATATTTGACCATTGTCACGTTAAGTTTCCTTATTTTGGCGTCTCTAACAGGTACGTAGAAAAAGAACGATTTATAGTTTTTAAAAATAAGGAAATTACAAATAAACTACAAAATAATTAATTTTTACAAAATTAAATCTGACACTAGGATTTTGGAGTCACCTAATTTTTAAACTTATCTAACTAACATTTTCTCCGTTTTTTTTCTTTGGTCTTGAAGTTAAACAAAATTGTAAAATCAGATTTATTTAAATCAGATTTATTTTTAAATCAGATTTATTTAAATCAGATTTATTTTTAAATCAGATATTTGTAAAATCTTTTCTTTTCCATAAAGTGTTTATCCCTTAAAAAATTTATGAAAATTAATGTGCGCATTGGATTACAAAACATAATTTAATTTTTTTTAATTTACAATTATCTATATTGAAGCAATTCAAAAATTGGTTGGGTTATACCTTGTAAAATTGGTTTGTAAAATAAGCAATTTTACAAACTTTAATAAAAACACGCCTTTGATTTGACCACATTTATAAAAATTTGTAAGATAATTTTCCTTTTGAAAATATGTGCAAAATTTTGTAAAAGTTTGCAAGTCTGCGGAATTTATGGATTTTACAATGTTACAAAGGCCCACGAGAATTGCCTCACTAATTAAATTTTTATTTCCTAATTTTTAAAATGATATTAAAATTCACATCTAAATTGAATAAATTACATTATTTTTTTAGACTACAAAAGCAGTGATGTCGGTTTAGCGATCTCTTCCGCGTTAAATTTGACGGGTGTTTTCCAATGGGGCATGAGACAGGTAAACGACCGAAAGTTCACCTTATCTTTGACCTTGACTTATCTTTGTCTACCTTTAATAGTCGGCAGAAACGGAAAATCTCATGACTTCTGTGGAACGTGCACTTGAGTATGCCAAATTGGATCCTGAAGCTCCACTAGAGTCAAAACCAGGTAATTATTTCTAGTTGTCAAATCGGTATAACGATTTTACTACCGAATGGTAACAATAATTTTTACCACGCAATTCAGATTTGTTACTATTCGTTCAAATTGATTTCATTGTTTTTTTAATCGTAAAATTTTTTATTTATTTTTTACTTTGCAGATAAGAAACCACCAAAAGACTGGCCAAAAAATGGAGAGATACAATTCCGCAATTATTACTTGGCATACGAAGAAAAAGGTGTCATCAAAGGGATCACGTTCGATATTAAGGCGTGCGAAAAAATTGGCATCGTAGGCCGTAAGTCTAATCCAAATTTGTTGTAATTAATTGGTATAAATACTTGTCAGTAACTCGAAAAACGGATATGAAAACAAATAGATTTGGCAGTCCAACTTGGTGCCAATTCTTGTACTCAAAATCCAAAATTTATTTCAAGCAAAATTTATTTCAAGCAAAATTTATTTCCTGCAAAAAAATTCGCGTGCATAACAATCTGGTTACAATATTGCATGGTAAATTTGTTGGATGCGTGACTTAAACTCCATTTTTAAAATAATACAATGCGAAACAAATGTTGAACAAGTATAGGTGTATCTGCAAATTTTGGAAGTTCGCAAATAAATAGAAGATAAATTTTATTAAAGATAAATATAATGTAATGATTAGTAAATACAGATTAGATTCTCTTAATTTAAATTTGATGCACAAAATTAAAAAGAAAAAGGCAACAATAATTTCCATGAAATTCGAGACAGTCATTTACATTTTAATAAGTCAATTTCTAAGATGAATAAGTCAAATTGCAGTTTTTTATAAATTTTGATTTACATTGGGTGACAAAATCTGTACCAGTGTGGTAATAGTGTTAGTGGCTACACGCATGGTGACGATATTTGTAACCAACTTATTTTGAGTTGCAACTATTACAATAACATTAAGGCAATTCACGCAGTCATTTGTAACTTTGTAAAATCCGCATGTTTTGCAAAACAATTTTATAAATTTGTGCAAAATAAAAAGACGCCCTTGATCTGACAATGCGATGGTGTGAAGTGTAACCCTCCGATTTGGTTGAAATTTCGAAATTATGTGGTCCATGTCAATACAACCAACGTTTCTTCAGGCAGTTTGTGCGATGGTCAGAAATTGGCAAAATATTTGAGGTCAAAGTCGAAAAACGGGCGATTTTTAGCAGGCGGAGGAAGCTAACTCAACTTCCATTCCCTTCCCGTGCTACAAATTGCACATTTTTCAACTTTAACCTCAAATATTTTGCCAAATTCTGACTATCGCACAAGCTCACTGAAGAAACGTTGGTTGTATTGACTTGGACAACCTAATTTCGAAATTTCAGCCAAATCGGAGGGTTACACTTCACACCATCGCATTGTGAGTAAGTTTATAAAATTTGTGGGCTAATTTTCCTCAGAAATAGTTGTAAAAGTTTGGAAGTTTACAGATTTTTCGGATTTTATAATGTTACCCAACCCTGGTTGAATTATTGAATTTTATTTACATATTTTTTAAGAGTGTATTTGCACATGTTTTAGGCACCGGAGCGGGGAAGAGTTCCATAATTAATGGCCTGTTCCGAATGACGGAGCCCAGAGGCGACATGTTTATTGATGGCGTTCGAGTTAATGACATCGGTCTTCACGACTTGAGACAGGCTGTCTCCATAATTCCGCAAGATCCCGTCCTGTTCTCGGGATCAATGCGGTCCAATTTGGATCCGTTTGATCAATATCCGGACCAAGATTTATGGGAATCTCTGGAAGAGGTAGATACATAATTTTTGAAATAAATACAAATTTGGTACCAATTCTTGTCTTCGGGTAATATTTATTTAAAAAAAACTCAAATTTGTCAAGTAGCAAATTTGAATTTTCATACAAGATCAATTCACGCAGGTCTTGGTAACTTTGTAAAATCCTTTAATTCCGTAAACGTAAAACTTTTACGAAATTTTACAAATATTTCTGGGGAAAATTAGCTCAAAAATTTTTGTAAACTTGCTCAGATCCAGGGCGTCTTTTTATGTTGGAAACGTTCGTAGAATTATTTTACAAAATTCACGGATTTCACAAAGACATGCATGAATTAGGTCATTACTACAAATTTGCAGGGCGAAATACATATTTTCGAAATTTTGAATCAGCTATTTTGTAAATAAGTTACTTATTTCGTTTCAGGTCGAACTAAAAAATGATATTCCCGCCTTGGATTTTAAAGTTTCGGACGGTGGGAGCAACTTCAGCGTGGGCCAGAGGCAGCTCGTTTGCCTGGCTAGGGCCATTTTAAGAAAGAACAAAATAATTGTGATGGACGAGGTAATTATTTTTCCTAATGTAATTAATTATTGCCATGCAATTAACTTATAATTAATAATAATTGTAAATGTTTGTAGGCAACTGCGAATGTGGATCCACGGTATAACTTTATTTAAAATTTTTTTTGTACTTCTACACAAATAATTTGGTAACATTTCATTATCGATTAAATTAATAGCGTGGTTCGTATTAGTTTGACGCCAATCATGATTAAATTGATTTAACCGAAATATTTATGCTTATCAAAATGTTTCCAATTTAGCACTGATAACTTCATCCAGCAAACAATCCGAACAAAATTTGCAGACTGTACTATAATAACTATTGCTCACAGGTAAATTTGTACGCTCAACTCAATTTTTTATTTGGCATACTCACGTCAACTCTTTTCGCATCACAACTCATTTTGCAAAAAAATATTTGCGAAATAATCATCCCAAATATTTAAGCAAATCTGCCAAAATTTTTGCGAAATATGGCAAATTTCTCGACGCTTTACCACCTACATTTCTATATAAATCAGCAATGTCGGAAAAAATTTCGAAAATTTGCAAGCTATGCGAAGGTTTTTGACGTGAGTAATTTTTTATAGTTTTTTAAACCATAATTATTTCCCTACAGATTGAACTCTGTCATGGACTGTGACCGTATTTTAGTTTTGGACAACGGATACCTCATGGTAATAAAAAAATGAGTTGAATCGAATTTTCAAAATATTTTAGAAATTTCATAAAATTCTAGGAATATAACCATCCCCACATCTTGTTAAATGATCCTCACGGAATTTTAAGTTCAATGGTAAACCATACTGGAGCTGCAAGTGCAGCGGTTTTAAAACAAGTTGCCGCCGAAGTAAGTTTTAAAAAATTTCCGAAACAAGGCTAATCTCTGAAATAAGTTGGTAACAAAGAAATCGTCACATATTCACTACCTCGTTGTTAACTAAATATTTGTGACAGAGTGGTAAAAATAATTTTCATAAAGCTCATATAATATCAGCTTTAAATATGAGTCATATTTAATAATTATTATTCTCCGTTAGAAATCAGGCAGGTATTGATTTCTCGGTATTAAAGTTGCTACCGTTTGGTATTATAATTATACCCGTGCCAAAAATTTAGTATCAATATGGTAAAACTTTGATACCGAGGTATGACTACACCGTATTACTTACTTATCAATACCACTTTGGTAATTTGGTACAGTCATATGCACTCTTAGGCAACTCGTTTTGAATCATTACGAATCATTACCGGACGGAGTACATTACCGGACGGACTCTACCGGCATTGGTAATTAACCACCTAGATCGTTACGGCGTAGTAATGTGGTGGTAATGAAATCTTTACCATTTAGAATCAAACTATTGCCAATCCGGTAAGGAATTATTACAAAATCAATACGATACAACAATACTAGTACGAACATATGTGACTCTACCGGATGCTTTACAGTGTATGAATACCGCTTGGTATTATTTTAATACTAGATTTCCAAGGGCGTAGTAAAAATTGATCTTAGCAAATTTACTTTTACCGTACGGTAGCAAATCGTTACCAATTTGGTAGAGATTGTCCAAATTTCTTGAAAATATTGTTACCAGCTTATTTTAAAGACGGTCTTTTTCTAGGGGTTTCAAATTTGTCAAGAAATGTATTTAAATTTTGTATCAATTTTCCAGACTTACTCCGGAAGACGGGGTTCATTCCGACAAGAAAATTTACCAGCGATACGTCATTCCATCTCTTTAGCAAGTGGTCAAAGGCTCTTAAACGCAGTAAATGAAGCAGAAGTTACAAAATAAATAAATTACTCACTGTATCCTAATAAATTTATGAAAATTATAAAATGCCAATTTATAATTTTCTTGACTCTGGATTCTTCAAAATAAAAAAACTCTGAATAAAAAAGCACAAAATCAATGTGGGTATTCACTCAAAAACCTTCCTTCGCAATCGCAACTTTTCACAAGTGTTTGAGAAATCGGTGTTGTGTACGACGTAATAAAAATCAAAATACATCAGCTTAAAATACGAGAATAAATAATAATTCACTCGACGATGAATTTGTGAAAAATAGTTCACTACAAAAAATAAGCCTTTTTGTGTGGAATATTTCGTAAAAAATAAAGGATTCTACTCTCCATCCATGCAGGATTGAACTTTTATAGAAATTGAAGAAACTACGCTACGCCCAGTCTCAAGTTCCCCGTTAGTATTATTTGAGGGAATCTGAGACCGACAGTGGCGTAGCTTCTGAGTATTCTCAATTTCTATAAAAGTTCAATCCTGGATGGATGGAGAGTAATTAGTTTCTTTGCAAACCTGGCAAAGTTGCCAAGATATTTTGTCAGGATTTCAATACTGGGATTTCTAAGAGTGTTTGTATCGCTGTCGATGATGTCACGATGCAGTCATCAATGGTCACGACGACGGTGATGATCTTTGACATAATTAGTAAATGCTTATTTCGAATAATAAGTCATTAATTGCGTAAAATTAAGACATTATATAAAATTAAGGTTTACGCTTAACTCAAATGAAACGACCAAACAATTAGTTAGCAAAAAATGCAATTTAATTTACTTATTAGGAATAGGATTAGATTATATCCTATTTATTAACATTTTAAGTTTTAGCCTTGGCCATTTCTGAGTCGTCGAAATTCGCGAAAAATCCACGGAAATCCTACACATGTAAAATATGATGAGTGTCTCATATAATCAGTCAGTTTGCAAATGCAGGATTATCATAAGAGCAGAAATTATGAGAAATAATTTCCAAAGTATTAATACCAGGTCGTGATATTTATTGCAACGTGCATACATACGTACATAAATCTAGACTATTAAAAATCTACACTCTTAGATATAGGGTTATGATTATTACCAAAATGTAAACGTATATGAGTCTACCGCAGTGGTTATGCATTTGTCACCAAGTGGTTATAAATTTATTAGCTCTGATGACAATTTAATACGAAGTCTGTGAAGCTTTATAATTAGCCGGTAACGATTGTAACCACTCGATGACAAATTTATAACCACGGCGATAGAGCCACATACGGTTACTTTTTGGTTATAATCGTAACCCTATTTCTAAGAGTGTAGATAATTGAAAAAAGAGTAATTTTTTATGGCCTACGTACTTCATTTCAGCGAAATAAATAAACCCGACTTTAATCGACTTTCTTCTATCGCCGGTCGTACATATGCAGAGAAAGCGGAGAAAGTGAAATGACACATTTTAATCCTAATAAACCGAATATTTAATGCCCAACTAATTGATATTGTCGTGAAACACGAGGAACAACAAGGATCACGAATAAAGAAACGGCTTACAAAATGAAACTGGTCAGCAGGACGGGCAGTTCGTGAGATTTTATCTCGACCACCACGACCGCATTTCCTGACTGCATGCCAATTACGATAAAGTCGGCATAGCGGTGTTTTTCTCACAGGAGAAAGCTTATAATTTTGTCTCATTTTTCTAAGGTGAGGTAAAAAAAACTATAGTTACAGTTACACCTTAGTATGCATTCACCCCCCCCTTCGAAAACCTTGACCGCCTCCTACAGCCAAGGGGGTGCGTTTTAGAGAAAAAAATAAAGAGACCGAAAAATCAATTACGGACCTAATCTAGTGCTATCCTAAGGGATTTTTCGATACGAGGTCCTAGAAAAAAGTTTTGATGGTGGTGAATGGTTGCGTTTCGCAATTTAAGTATGAAGGAGACTACCTACATAGCTGGGTATCTAAATTTATGAAAGATCGCCCCCACTTTACTATAAGGGGAAACAAGAATGGAGTCGATTGGTTAAGAAACCAGCGACTTTTCCCTATAACGAAAATTTTCGAGTGGTTGCTATATTGTAACTATATAGTTACACCCTCGCTATGAAGTAATTTATAGTCTTAGCCCGTACCCGGGCTTATGGGACCGTCATGTCCGTCCGTTAACACGATAGACTTGCAATTTTACCATATGCCTATTGCAAAGTTAGGAAACAAGTTCGAAGGTGGGCGAAATCGGTCAAATGGTTGACCCGTTGGGGGCATCTAAGTGAGTGGGGAGCTATGCACCAGATTCCAAAATTGTTTTAGAAAGCTGAAATTTGGCATACAGATTGTTAGTGGCTCCTAATGGAAGAATATAAACTGAAATTGGAAAAATTTTTGTCTAGAGGGACCCTATGGGGTGTCCCTCACCGATTTTTGAAAATCGTCATATCGAGCTGAAATTTGGTACAGATAATGTAGATGGGTCCTAATGGAAGAATATGAATTGGAATTGGGAAAATTTGTATGTGGAGGGACCCTTTGAAGTCAGCCACACCTTTTAGAAATTGACCAATGGTTTTAAATATACTTAGCTTTAACACGTAAGTCGAAGCACAAATTTGAGAGTGGTCAGGAATATCAAAACAAAACTTGATATCTTTCAACTGACACTTTTAAGACGTATGCTGTAAATTTGAACGAATTAAATTGGCTACGATATCCGCAAGACTAACGGTGTAAACGTTCCTTTATAGCGTACAATAGTGGTTATATTCTATATTTGCTTTTAAAATTCAAACCTAAAAAAGAAATAAATAAAACATAGCTTGAAAAAGTAAAAATTTCTAAGGTGAGGAAGTGCACTTAAAAGTATTAAACAAGCTCCCCACACCTCCACCCAGATAATTTTACTTCGCCTGGGCTGTCTACTGCATGCAAAAAATATCTGTAAATATTAATAAATGAAATCGTACATTTGTAATATTCAACAAGAAATAAATTTGTTGGACTTTATTACGTTGTGAAATTGTAACGCAAACTGCTAAACCGGAATTTTATACTGTTATTAAAAAATCGGTTGTAATTAAGCCGCACAAAGACTTAACCAAAAAATCTAAAAACAATGGTTGCCACTGTATAGTAGATATATACATTCAGAACTTCCTTCAACAAGAACGATGACGAAGTAGTTACACAAATAATTAATTAATATTTAGGGACGGATGAACCATATGTAATAATAATTATGTAATAATAATTACTACCAAATGGACATAATTGGTAATACCCTAGCATCCAGAATGTACATAGTGTTGATTTGGAAATTAACCAATTCAAAAGTTACATTTAGGTCAAGAAATTAATTCTAATGTTTATTTTCTTACATGACACCAAAGCATTATTGTCGATATTTTTTGCATGCAGTAGACAGCCCAGGTGAAGTAAAATTATCTGGGTGGAGGTGTGGGGAGCTTGTTTAATACTTTTAAGTGCACTTCCTCACCTTAGAAATTTTTACTTTTTCAAGCTATGTTTTATATTTATGTGGTTTCATCACAAGTTAAAAACCTCTTTTCAATTTCAATTCTGGGTTTAGTTTTTCAAAATTGAGGACATTTATACATAAATATTTTGGTTTTTAAGCGGTAATATGTCTCCATTGTCCTACCTGACCAGTTTAAGATCTGTTCGAATAAGTATGCCCTACGAAACAAATTCATTTTTCATTGCGGTATCAAACTTATTCGAAGGAAGGAAATAATTTTATTTTTGGATAAAAAAACCTGTAATTATTTGTTCAGAGGTAATTTACATCAGCTAGAATTTCATATTTAATGCAATTATGTTTAAATTTTACAATATTTGACAAAAATCTATGTGCCTAATATACATATCTAAATGAAGACAACGCGATCGTTTGAGGGACTTTTCGAAACGCAGTGATGCAAACCAGGACCTGGACCAAGTCGAAAATGAAGGAGTTCCATAGATTACTGAATTGTAATGACATAAGTCTGAATAAATTAAAAAGAAATTAAAAGAGGAATTTTCGGATGACATGGTTTAAGGAAGAAATTTGAATTTGTTTCCCAAGCTTTCGATACTGAACTCGTGTCATCATCAGGGACCTGAAAAGAAATTATTTTATTGAATCCCGATAAGACCTATTTTAACGTTGACGTGGCTAATTTCATGTTTTTTTTATGATTGGCGTTTAAATTTATAAATTTGTGATTTAAAATTTGTTCGAATTCATACAATTCATGTCCATATTGTATATATTTTTTCCATATTTTTCGCAGCCCGAATCAAACAATAAAATGTGACCATTATTTAAAAAAATTGCAACTTACTTATATGTGATATTGGTCGAAATTTATGGGAATATTAATTTATTGTTTGTTATATATTTCCATACGATATAGTTCATGCACAACAGACAAGTTAGTTAACTGTGTGCATACTAGAGTTTTACATTTTCAACTTATCATGACATTTTGACATGTCATAAATGTCAGACATTTATTTTTATTGACAATTATGACATTTATGAAAATTTGTCAAATTCTAAATTGTCAACTTATGTATCGACTGCACTTTGGCCCTTTCGGAATTAAGCATCGACTGCACTTTCGGAATTAGTCCGACGTAATGTACTTTACAAGCGACAACATCTACCTACCGGCATCTCTTTTATGGAATAGTGGTGCTAACTAAAACGACTTAGTAAATCTGCTCAGATTTACTAAAATTTTATAAATGACGTCGTTCGGGAAATCTGAGACTTCATAAATAAACCACAACATAATTTGTCGATTTTTTTTTGAAATTATGAAACTAATGACAGCTGAAATTTTGAGGCGTCCACAGTGTTCTCAATCAAGAAAAAATCACGACCGAGACAAGAGAAAGTGATTCCTGTAAGTGGTGAAACGTGGCAAAATATGACAAATTCTTTTAAATACCCATACAAAATAATATCTGCGGATTTCTTAAAATTTCCGAAATTGATAACAAAATTTTGAAATTTTCCATTTTATTTTTCAAGCTTTTATGTATATAATCCTGGAGAAAGTT